TATATATATATATATATATACACATATATACATATATATGTACATATATACATATATATGTGTGTGGGTGTGTGTGTGTACGTGTACATTGTATTTTGCAGCCTGGCATGGCTTACTTTATTAATTCCCTTATATATATATATATGCTTTTTGGATATATATATATATATATATATATATATCAGGTCACTTTTTTGTTGTACTTCAGTTCACCTCTGCAGTAAAAAGATGTTTTTCTGCAGTGTATAAGAGTAAAAGCCTGACAGAGCAGACACACACACGTGCATGTGACTTGTGACGGACAGAGTTTATGAGTCGTAAACACAAACCTAAAGCCATAACTGTCTGGACTGATGTTTACATGTCAGTGACATCACTGCACTGACAGCCATAGAGTCCCAATGTCCAGCAGCATGCAGCCCACATGCTCCAGGGGGAGGCTATGCTCTAATGTACAGGTACAGTCTGGGTTGTGTTAGTGGGTCAGATAATTAGGTCAGAAAAACCAATACTGTTTCCTGTTGATACATTCCTGACTCTCTCTCTCTCTCTCTCTCTCTCTGTGTCTTTATTCCCATCCTCCGACTCCTGTGCTTGATCACAAAATAAATATTTTTTTTAAAAAGTTGTGCCACTAAAAGTTGGTCTCGATGGAGGAAAAGCTGGTGAGGAAAAAAAAAAAAATAGTCACCGTCACCAGCTTCACCTCTGAGGTACAAAGACGTCAAGGCCGTAACTCTTCCCTCCTCTGGGTGTGTTCTTTTCTATAACCTTCCCCCTGAGTGCATGTCAACTGAATGTCCAGTAACTTCTTTGCTGTAGTGTTAGAGGCCATGCTACTCTTCAATGGGTTTTTGTGCATTTCTTACCTTCCTTTTCCTTTTTTCTAGTATTCCTATAAAAGAGACAGAGACTAAAGTCTATGATGTGAAATAAACGGTAATAAAATAAAATATATGACTAGTTAAAATATATATATATATAAAACATGGCAAACATGGATGAACATTCACTTTTATGGCAATGTTTAATGAAATTAATTCTTATTGTATGTTTCAGTAAAAAAAAAACAGCTTTCTCTTCTTATGTGTAGAGACTTATTGCAGGGATGCAAGTATTATGTTAAAAAAAATATATGGTCTTTAAAGAATATCTTGTTGAAATTCTAGATATGTAGAGTGATGCAGTTCAATAAAATCACAAACATGACAAAAAGTCTCTTCGTCACCTGGATTTCATTCGGGGAAAAAGAAAAGTTTTTTTTAAATATATTCATTTAAAAAAAATCTATTTGGCAAACTTAAAAAAAAAATCGTTACCTTGTATTTTTTTTCACCACCATTTAGCTATTTTCACAACTCTGTTTTATGAAATGTTAGCTAAGTTTGAGCAGATTATTTCTTACGTTTAACCTATGTTTAGCTACATTTATTTGGTCTAAACAAACCTGCTCTGCTACTAGCCTTTACCTCAGAGAGGTTTAAAAGTACATTTCAGTGCGGATTTTAATATTTATTTTTACGTTTTAGATATCGTCGAGCTCCACATTGGTGATTTCTAGGAAAAAATTATTTAGAACATTTTTTAAAAAAATTGGTCAGATGTAAAAAAAATTTTTGATGAAAATCTTTTTAAAAGAATTTCAATTTTTTTCTTTTCTGCATGTTTTCTCATAAAGGACCTTATTTTGATTTTTGAAATATTCATAAAAA